CCTGGTCCTCACTGGCGAAGTTCGGTATTCGGCCGTGCAAATCAATGAACGAAGAATCACAGGAACAGACGGTGTGACAATTTAAAAGATAAAAACGCATGGTCAGACGCTGTGGAGGGTTTTATCGTAGAAGATCAGCTGCTAGGTGGAAAAAGAAACAATACCTCAATCAAGCTGGAAGTAGTCAAATACAGCCGTGCCGTTTAAGCAGGACGAAAATAAAATCTGAAGAATCCATTTTGCTTGCTTTCACAAGTCTACAGGCTTTGCAGTAGGAACACCATCAACAGACTGCCAGCAGGTCTGGATAAACAGCAGCCAAGAGAACAGGCAGGACTCCGAAGGAATTACTGTACAACGAAAAACATCTTTATTTTAAGTCAACTTCTCGAACAAGCAAAAAAAATAACCGCTTATTTTAACACCACATTAGTCGCAATGAATCAATCACAAATAAATGCGCAAAGACTGGAATCCGAAATCTGCTATCGAAATTCAGCGAGAGTCCATGTATCGTACTCTAAAAGAACATTAATATTTAGGTTAGATGCTTACTGTAATTTAGCGTGTGAAATTGAAAGCCGCGATTTGATTTACTAACCTGTTTGATGGGCCAGAGTTAATATTTCGTTCTGTTCACAGACTGGTTAACATTTTATACATTTTGTCACAAAATTATGATCGTTTTTCAACTGTGTTATTTTCCCACGTTGAAAACGCTTAATTCTTTAACTTTCGTTTTCCGGCGTTGCTTATTTACTTACTTTTCAATCAGCTGTAATTTTCAACCGTAGTCAAAGATAGATTTGATTAAAATCTTAATGAATGTCATTTCTTCCAAATTCTGATCTAGAGTAAGCCGGAATGCTATAATTTTATCCATGAATTCTGCTGATTCTCTCTCACAATTATACAGGTTAAATTTATTTATTCGTATTGTACTTACTGTTGTTTCAACTCTAATGTTGCCCTTTTCATGCTTAGCATTCTCTGCTTTAGGCCAATAATGTTTCAGCGTAGTCATGCTATGAATTCGTTTATCGGTTCCGTCTGAGATGTTGCGCGCGGCTACATGGTTTTTACATGCTGAATCTCGTGGATCTGACGTTGTCAGACACTGCTGTATAATATCCATTGTACAGTTGAGGTCGATGAGATGATTTTCATTTTCACAGTGCCTAGTTAACTAAGCCATATAAGTTTTTCAGTGAAAATATTACAGATATCTGATTCGCAGAAGTAGGAATTGAATTCATAGATTTGTGAAACAGCTGATTTGAAGAAGTGTTGCTTTTGTCTCGAGTAGTAAATATAATCATAAGGATTGGTAGAAATACTATTAGGAGGGCGTAAGAAAATATAATTATTATCAGCTAAAGATCATTTGAATCGTGTCCGGTCAGTCATTCAATGTGTATATACTTAAGAGTCGAAGGCTGACAAAGGCCTGAAAAATACTATTGGTTAGATAGACGATTTTTTAACTGTTTTCCGTTTCAGGAAGTTTCCTCGTCATCAAGGTATGGCACCTGTGCGGTTGTCAAAGCTGCTCAAATTCTGTTCTTTTCCCGTTTTAATCTTTTCGCTATCGGCAATTTTGTTCGTTGTTCCTGAATGCCTGTGTAAAAGTGATTTTTCTCTAAACCTTCCGGATGATCACGTGCCATACTTTCTTCACAGCAGCAGGGTAATGACGAAAAAATGCGAAGCTTCAAAAAGTTGTCCTTTTAAGGTATAGTTACGTATTCAACACTTACATATGGTAACGGTCGATTATTGCCAATCGTTTTTGCATTTGTTTTTAGACTTCGCTTCGTAAGTCTAAAAGAGTGTGCTGGGGTTATGAAAAAGACTGTGGCTTAACTGATAACAGTTATAGCTGGAAGTATCTGAAATGCACAGAGAAAGCCTTCTGGTAGGTTAAACTTTTTTAACATAGATTATAAGAGTAGTTAAATCTGTCAATTTCTCCATCTTTGATGGTCGAAATGAAGTTCATGAGGTAGTCATGCAAAATTTTTTTAATCATGGCACTGGAAGGGCTTTAAATGATAAAGAAACCTATAGTCATATGTATGTTAAAAGAACAACTAATAATTGTTGCCTTCAGTTAATTATATGCTTTTGATGTCGTATCCATTGTTATTGAGTAATTCACTTGATTACTTACGTGTTCTAATCAGTCAAAGTTTAGGACTGGTGTTTCAAGTTTTGCTGAACAGAAGGCTGTTTTTTGGCGTCAAGGCGATTTTGGATATGTCAAGCACCATCTTGATTCAATAGTCGAAATCTGTTCGCCCACAAAGTCATTAAAGGTTTCCAGTATTTATTAATGAAATTTTATTTCTCCCCAAGTCGTAATATTCGAATGTCACACGCGAGAGAATCGAACACGTTACTAAGGTCACGTTTCTGACTGTACTCATTCCGTAGTCGGTACATTTCGTGAAACAGGATGACGGAATGAACTCGCATCAGGATGATTTTACAACGAAACGTAGATTTTGGGTGTTTAATGAACGTCTATTGCCTTGCAGAATAACTTGCTTATGATTGTTAACCTGATGGCCCGACGAGCCATTCGCTCCAAAACTGATTTCAACCTTACTTTTAAACCCACAGTGAAGTGTGGTATGCTAATAAGTCGAAAATGAACGATTCGAGTGAAAAGTAGGTCAGTTGCCATATTTTTGGAAAATAAAACCACTTACAAGGCTTGAGGGCCTGGTAGAATATTTGTAGTAGTTGTTTGTAGTATAAAAAGAGTCTATTGTGTTGCCGCTTAAAAGACGAAGAGCAGGTAGTAGCAGATGAAGATGGCTGATTCTTTTTAATGCAAATAGAGGAGATAAAGCTGATGGTTGTAGCATGTAGCATTGCAGAATGATTTGGCGAGATTTGGTGTGATGTGTTAAGTGTATCTGAATTGTTCGACGATCTTATGATAACTTTTTTGACAAATCGTGTATTTGTTGATTATATCGTTATGCTGTGCTAACATGCCAAAGAGGTCGAATTCGAATTCCGATGGTGCCAAATTGAAACAGAATCTTGAAGAGGGCGATCTTTGTCTTTACAACGAATTCCCTTAAGGAAGGAATCTAACCAACGTTGTTTCAGTGAAATCTGACGGATAGTAAATCATTGATATGTGAACAACATCTTGGCTGTCTGGTTGGTTCTACCAGAATCTTCATGTAATGTAGGGTCATGTTGTATGATGCGAGCGCTTCTTACGGCTGCACTTTGCCTCGACGCATCTGATAACTAACTAGGAAGTGTGATAATCGATACATCGTGTAACCCAGAAACATTTTATGCATTTGAAGAGATTACAGTGCGCCTTTTCTTTGCTTCAGGATGGATCGTCGCTCCGATGTTCGAAACACCTTCGGTATTGCTACGGGCGTAATATCTTTTTTGACTTCAAGCATCTGTTTGCATCAAAGAAGATTGAAATGTAATTTTAGCCCGCGTTTAATCGTTACTGTAGTCTATGTGTAAGTTATCTGCTTTTAAGGTACCGGTCCGATGTCATTAGAGATGGGGATGTCGGCGGAAATTGTATTCTGAATGATAATATTCTGCGTGAGCGTGCCGATGAAACCGGTTATTTGCAAAGTTGGTAGGGTGAATGATGATTATGTCAATGTTCATTGTTAAGACATCTTTATTTTTCAGTAACAGTACAGTTAACCGGCTGATTCCCATACGTACATTCAGTAAACCTGTCTACCAGAAACGTACTTTTTTGTTGGTTAGAAATCGATTGATGATGGGCGATGAGTACCTGAGAAAAGCAATTTTATCAGGCAGACTTGAAACTAGTTCTCTTAATCGCGGTTCAAGAATGTCTTTGGCTAGTCTCTCTGTAGAGTGGAGGTTGAGGGTTGGCAAGGATCGCGTCTTCAGATTTTGTCATGCCATTTATATCAGTGATAAATTACCAGTAATAACGGCATTGGTATTAGAAAGCGATTGTCCTTATAAAGTACGTTGTATTGAATTCGTACAATAATTAATGAAATATATTCAAAAGAAAATAAAAATATTAACGAATTCAGAAAAACTTGTGTATTCTGTGTCTACTTGAGACTTGGTCGAAGTCACACCAAGGCGGATGGACCTTCAGAAAACAAATGACGCAGTCATTTTCTCTGCATGAGGTCGCTGAAGTAATTGCTGACAGAGACGCGTTGTATAAATGTAGCACTATGCTTAAAATTTAAACAGATTTTACGGATAACATTGTGATTTGTTCTTCATTAAAAAGCAGTGGCTTTCGATGATTTTAAAAGAAAACTAGCTGTTGAGAACATACCGTGTATTGTAATGGCTTATGATCTGCCTGGTGACCAGAAAATTGACTGAATTGAAAACAAGCTTATAACTTTTCAAGCTATCCATGAAAGTTATTGAACAATTTGACTGTATGACTTATTTTTTCTCTTTTTTTTGAGGGCTGGGGAATTGATTCATTTTGCAAGCAGAAGCGACTTTCGTATGGATAGAAAATCTTGTGACGTGATTTTTACAAAGCCTGTGATTATTATGAAGCTGGATGCCGGTACCTGCCGTTTCTTGTTTTTCGTGTAACTTAATATAACTCTTCTTTCGTTACTGTTGACCATAGAGATTTGTATTATCCTCAGGAAATTAGAGCTGCTTGTTTAGGAAGGTTTGTGCTTCCGTGGATTCTCATTGGTTCTGCATATGTTTTTCACCTTGCGAAGCGAGTTGTTAATGTAATAATGCTTAAAAGTCACCTAAAGTAGAAGGCGGCGACGAAGGAAGGAGCTTGTTTATGCGCTGGTAGATTTAAGTATCTGTCTTTAACCTAGTAGACCTTCTAGGTGCTTTTTCATTTATCTCTTCTAGATTTCTAAATCTGTCAATATTTTAGGTTGGTGGTGATGCTTCTATATAGGATGAGAACTTTTAACTAACTGTTTACTCTGGAATCTGTTTTTAAGGCTTTTAGCTGAGATAATGGAAAAGGAGTTTTGTAGGAAGGAGCTTTAATCTCTATACCTTCAATGAGTGCTGTTTGAGGCACTTTTCTTTTATTAAAGCAGAGGTAGTTTAGACTATAGTTGTTTTTGACTTTAAACAGTTGAAAGCTCTCCTGTTTGAATGCCTGATCAAAGTTCAGCAGGGTACAAAAGTTTGACGAGATAAAACGCAAGTAATGCCTCTGCTGACGGGGTAAGAGAGACTGTTGTGCCAGTGATTTCTTAAGTTCAGCCCTGATCTCCATCTGTTTTGTAAGTTGGTTTTATCTGTTTTGTAACAGATATTATGTAGCCTTCCACTTTTTTTCCGCACACAGCAGGACCTGCTGACTTACCTCAGAAAAGTCAGAGTCGAAGAATTTTCTCCATGATTCAAGCGAATTATTTTGGAGCATTCAGGTTCTGTTAAACAAAGTCAGGCATTTGTTGAATTAATCTAATGGGAAATTAATTTCAGTAGAAATTTTTACTGATTATCTGTTTGAACGATGTTTTTTACACTAATGCGACTCATATCTCTGAACAGGGGTCAGTATGTATCATCATTTTTGCGATTTTATCAATCTGTACGCATCGCAACATATCAATGGTTCCTTCGACGAAACGGTGCCGATCATTCTTTGGGATACGGTGTGTGATAAATGTTTTGTTCTGCCTTTTCAACCTTTCAGTTTTATGAAATTTAGTCCGCATATGGCTATCACGATCTCTTCAGTGCGATGTGGCGAGTGTTTTCACAAGAGCAGCCGATTCAGTTGAAAGATTTCGATGGCAAAAGGGCAAGTCACATCTGTGATCTTATCTCCTCTTATCTCCTTTCCTTGTCCAACTCTTTCTTCTTTCTTCTGTTCGTTTTCTGTTCTTGCTTTACGAAAACCAGTCTGTCCAGAAGAAGCACGTTCATGTTATCGGGTAGACATACCTATCAATGAGGAAAAATCATCATCGCCTAATAAGAAAGTAAGCTACCTGATGAAAAGATTTCATGTTAATTTTGACGCTTGATTAAGGTCGTAGTTCTCACTCTTTCCAAATGCAGTTATACTTTTCCTCGCCTTAAAAAGACATCAGTGGCTCTATCAGTTTTGCTAACCTCTCATTTTATCTTATCCGCGTACTGTTGTCTCTTTACCTGACCGTTTTGGGTTCATAAAAGTTTATCTAACTTATGTGCACAAGATTATGCACGTCACCATACTTCGTTCTGTTACCTGATCCCACGTTTTAATCGGTACTCAGTCTCCGCAATCGGGACATATTCCAGACTAACTCAGGGTCCAAACAGTGCCTGATGGATGATATCGAAAATTAGAATGAACAAAACACACTTTACGCGTCTGAGATGATGAAGCCAGCAAAATCCATTGTAATAGTAATTTTCTGTCATCTCTTCATTTCTTTGAATAGAAGATCACTTTAGATATTATTCATTTCTCCATGTTCAGCCAGCTTTTCGAATTCTATTAATTCTGTAAGATTGTTTCAGTTAGAGTCAGGTAACGTCATAATTTTAGGTGTGCTTCCGCGAAGTGATGATGCCATTGCTGGCACGGATGTTTTTTGGCCTTTATTACAACATGCCTTTGGTAAACACTTTTTTACCCGTTTTAAAGCTTTGGAACTCTCAATACTTAGATTCGCGGATGTCACGGAAGTGGCTTGATTCATGCGTTTTCCAAACATGTGTTGCATCGCATGAATATTCGCCAAATCGGTCCCCTAGAAGACAAAATACGAATAACCCTTTTGTCACGTGATAGCCAATACCGAAGGATACTGAATGAGCAAAAGGTAACATTGTCAGACTTTGGCATTTATCAGATTTCGAAAGGAAAATTAGGATGATCTCTTGATTGCAAATTGTAGACCAGATGTTAAAATAGTTAATTCAATTAACACGTACAAAATATACCTGGCAGGGGTTTGAACCTGACTCTCTTTCCTCTTCTGACCATTCTGTCCTAAGTTACGTTATGAACATAAAATGTGATTCTTTCGCATCGGCTGTAACAGTTGGTAGGTGGATCTTGAAGAGAATATTAGTGGCCATCCCCTGTCCATAATCTTGCGATGACATATGAGAGAAACCCAATGTGCTTCTGGTAATGCTAAAGGCCGATGGATAGTAGATTTTGTATGTATTCAAAGATGCAGTGTTAAAGACGATCCGATTTGTTATATGGGCATTATGTCTTGTAACGCCAAGAACTGTGTCATGCACTAATTTGCTTGTTTATTTATGCAAATGTTTGTTTTATTGCTTTCTGCATGCTTTAGCTACTCACGCTGTTTTTAAGATTATTGAGCGCTTGCGAGCCGTCGACGAATTCGAGCTGAACCACGTTGTTTACACGTAGTACGTCGGTTGTTAGAAGATCGACTGGTTATCATTGTGTTCATCATCCTGCTGTCTTTCAGCCAAATGCCATTTGTTCAGCAGCTGCAGTTCACCCATAACAGCGACGTTTTTATGTCTGTCCACGGCTCTGGACTTACCCATTTACTGTTCCTTCCGGATTGGGCTGCCGTGGTTGAGATGTACGTAACGAAAGACATGTTTTTCCTGTTTTTTCTTTCTCTCTCTCTCTCTCTCTCTCACAAATATCAATTTTCTACGCTGTAGCACTTCTCGTGTGTGCGAGTTTCTTTCAGTCCTTGTTGTGACCATCATGCCATTTTAGTTTATGTGGGCGTAACATAAATTGCATGATCTACTTGCTTAACGTTGACACTGATTTGTATGCAATAGCTGTTTATGCACGTAAAACAAATTTACCTTTGAGGTTAAATAATTATATAAATAAAAAATTTTTGTCCAAATTCTGTCATATATATTCAACCCATATTAGTATGTAAGCCCTGGTCATCTTGGGCTTGTTTATGCTTCGAATAAATTATAATTCTGAAGCCACTTGCTGTACAGATCATATTTCTGTGGTCTAGCAGCAGCACATTTCTTCACACACGAAGATATCATATGGTATCAGTCATGAAAAACTGGTTTCAGTAAGAAGTACTAAAATATACTCTGAGGTAATGCCACGTAACATCTGATTAATGGAATCGCAGTTCATAGCGTCAGTCGCAGGGCAGACTACAAGTTACGTTGTCTCAAGCTTTTTTTCGAAATGAGCATGAATATGCTTAGCGACTTAGAGGCTGTCAGTTATGGAGGTTTTATAAGTTTTCCTCCTTAGTTCTGGAAATAAACATTTCATTGTCGCGCAGGCCAGTCATTTCTAATTTTGGTTGCTGTTCAACTCAATCATGAGACCTAGAAAGCGATTGTTGAACAACTGAAAATTATTATATTCCTTTTTGGCTGCAATTGATCGAACCCTGTTTGTGTTTATGGCGCTCTTTCGAAAAGATAGTAACGATAGTGGGTCCATCTCCCTTATTTATTACTGCGGAAGGTATGACGAATTTGTTTTTTCACATGCCAGAAAATGACGAATAACTGGTGGCCGTGACGAACGGAAGGTTCGAGTAACAAAATCTTGAAGGCGAATCTATTTGATACCCTGCATGGTCGGTCCAAAGGAGCTGCGAATGTGCAGCTGAAGCTCATGCTGAAAACCTGACCTGCAATTTGCTTCATTATATAAGAGGTCTTTAAACTTGAAGTTTTGGAGACGGACTTGTAGTCGAAGGCCGCACTAGAGATATTGAATATAGACAGATTTATGCACTATGTAATAATTATTGCATTTTTAATTCTTTTTGTTTCGGTGCTATGTCAGTGGTGCTATTTTAGATATAACTGTGGCGATAAGGACTGTTACAAAGACTTGGCTCGCCTACGTGGTGTAAAATACTTTACTTGGGAAGATGAAAGCAAACTGACGCTGGAAAACTCGGTAGGTACTTTTATTCTTTGGTAATGTGCTGTAGTACTTGCCAAGGAAGGAAACTGTACAACCCTTTCATTCAGTAATATATATTACTTTCAGAAATAATGCCCTCTTGACTGCTTTAATCGAAATTGCAAAGTCTCACTTTGGTTACTGACATTTGCTGGCCAGAAACTGCACGGAACCTGATGAGTAAATGTCTCTAAATAGTATTGAAGATTTCGGTATTCAGTGAGAGACTCTGCTAGCTCCATACTGGTTCTCAGTATAAAGACATCGATTTTTTACATGATCTCTTCAGTAGTAATAACTTTCCATCATCTTATATAAATTAACAGCATGATAGAAATGACTGCATTTTTCGGGAGGCTTGGAGTTTGCTACGATGAAGGATCAGTGAAGATATGATGTCACTGCCGTTTAGACACTGTACCGTAGAATTTTCAGGATTAAATTGATGGTTTCTGCGAGGCGGCAAGCGCAGTCCGATTCATTTAGGCATTCTACAGCTTCTTTGAAAAGAATAGTACTCCTTAACGACTGCAGGAGTGTTATTGGGGTCTCTTCGTCTTTATAGTGTCTCACATCAACCTTTATGTAGCGTTTCCCAAAACTTAATTCTGGATTTGGGAAGGCTGATTTTCCACGGTGGAATCTAATGACAAACAAGCGTAATGTGGCATATTCTTGTCACCGTCCTGAACGCTAGCATAGCTGCTGATGTCGTTGAAAATGATCGATGAGGGCCGATGCCACCAAACAAAGAGAAGAGATCACATCGCTGATTAAGAAATAGCTATGCTGAAGGTCACTGTTTGTAAAAGCGATTTATCAAGATAGTGTCATTTTGCTCGACATCTCTGATAATGGTTTAATAGCATTGCATTGAGATTTTCGTTCTACTTTGTGAGCAAGTTCGTACTTCGTTCTGTGGTTTGTCCAGAGGGAAATTAGATTCATGGAAAATACGGGTCGGGTATTGATCGTCTCTAAACTTCTTTGGAGAATTGGTCCGTTTGTAAAAACAGAAGTTGCCATCTTGTGCTCTCTACCATCCCTATCCAGGCATCTAGAAGAATTTTATCAAACTTGGTCTACAATGGCTGTCTGAAACTTGTCATACGTCATCGAATGCGATAATCGTCAAATAGTTAATTTTATTTGAAGAATACGACAAGAGTCAACGTAACCTTCTTACTTTTCATGGTCAAATATGAGAAATGTGAATTTCAGACAGTCAAGAACAAAAAATTTACCAATTTCGTTTTGGACCCCGACGAATTCATTAAGCTCACATTCAAAGCAGCACACTACGTCCGGAAGAATAAGCAGTTTGCGAAGGAACGCCTGCGATTCCAGGAACACAGTTCGTTGAAAACCGAATTATAGTCTTTATGGTTGTCCAGTGATCTGTTGATTTACTTACTTAGTTTAACTCCGTTGAATTTCTGTGGTTTTCTGCTTATCATGTTCAGGTAACCACGTACCAGATGTACATTGGAAGGAGGTTATTTTTCCGAATCATGCGCTTTTATTTTTCTTTGTATCAACTGTTACCTGTTATATTATCTAGTCATGTTGCCAAACCGCGATCGATACGGTCTTCTGTTATGGTTGATTAAAGTTGTTGCGCTTATCGTTGCTTTTGATATGACTTGTGGTCATCGTGCTGCTTTAGTTATTCGTTTTGTTGCGTTGAAGTTTGTAGTGATGACGTCATTAACTGACAGTAGACACTTCAAGACTGTGTCAGGCGCTGTACACTTAACAATGAGCCGTGTAAGCTCAGCTGTTTCCCGACTGGCAAACAGCCTGCTGAATTACGTCAAGATCAAAATGGGAATGCCGATTCGGCGGGTGGTTGGCACTGATGATTTTGGTAACATCTATTACATTGCTGAAGGTGGAGATGAGCACATTGCTGTCCGACGGTAAGCAACGATTGTTTGTGAATCTACGTTTTTACCGTGTTTTGTACTCGTCTGTTTTAGGGGCTATCTTCCAGGGGATACTGTACACTACAAAAGAATTCCTGTCGAATGGAACGCTTGGCTATCAGGACGTCGCAATGACCCTCCCACTCAGGAAGAAATCAACCGCAACCGAATAAGAACTGCCCAGATCGCTGAACGGGTGGCGAAGCTGGCCCAAGAATCTGATCAAAAACAAAATGTATCAACGACGGTGGCAGAAGGACAACGTCCATTTGTCGAGCTCGAACAAAATTCGATCGCAGCGAATGATAATAGTAAGATAAACCGCTTTCCAATCTATAAGGAATACGAGAAGGAGCCGGGTTCGAAATTTTCGTGATGTTGGCAAGACTACGGATTGTGATTATTGTTCGCTTTAGTTATATTGTTTCTACTTCAGTTCTGCTGCCAGTAAACTAGCTTCCGATATCGATGATATCCTTTGTTTTCCTTTCATTATGAGCTGTCGACAAGACTTCTACTGATTATTAATTATGCTGCTTTTTCTTGCTCTGACGTTTCCTTCAGAATGCGCCTGACCAGCATTTGTGGGCGGTTATACGCTACGAAGTCACTGAAACGATTTTACCGGTACGTAGATGTTGCGCAGAACGACAAAAAGCAATATCTGGTGTCTTTGGATGGTCGGCGCATTAAGACTCCGTTGGGTAACCTGTTTACAGTTGCTTCTGAACCGCTAGCGTTGGCGGTCATGCAGGAGTGGGACTCACAAATGTTTCGTGTCGACATGAATCGAATGCACCTGACCAGTCTTTGCATAACGGCCATCGATAATGTTGCGAATCAAACTACTGACAATATCGTCGACGAGATTCTAAAGTTCTTCGACAACGATACGTTGTTTTTTATGTGCCTCCGGCCTGAAGGACTCAGTGAGCTGCAGAAGTGGCGATGGGGAACCATGATCGATTGGGCAAAGGTAATCATAAATGTTCATGCTGATTATGCGTGCAACCTTAGGTGAAAACATTTTTATCGATGCGCAGTACCTAATTATTATTTTATATTTAGAGCCATACTCAGCATTTATATAAGCCATTATAAATTTTTTTTATTAATAATGATTCTAACATTCTATTGATCCAGTTACGTTTAACTCATGCTCAAGACGAAGATATTCGTGTACTTCTTTTTTTTAAATCCTTAGCTGACAGTAGCTTAGGATCTTTTGACACTGCTCTTCGGAAAGTCATACATTATAACTGTTTATAATTAAAATAATTTAGTCTTTACAGAAGTCGATGCAGTACCA